TTGAGACTTCCGTAGGAAAAGTGCCCTACGTATAGTAACAAACGGTGTGAATGCTGGTGCTGGGTAGTAGTCGGCAAGACCTGGATTTGAGAAGGTGTAGGAGCAAGATGCAGAGTCTAGCAAGTAAGCAGGGGAGAGCACCTGTCATCTTTTTGCCCAGTGAAGAGACTTGACAGGAGGGTTCTGTTTAGCAGAGCAAGTTTAAGACATCTGGGCAGGCGCAAATCTCTTCACTCTGGAAGTAACCCAAGAGGTACACATAGATGTTTTTATAAAATGCACCAGACCAAACTGGCACTGATAATGTTGGTCTTTGTGGAGGAATTAACAGGAAACAGAAGAGCAGTCTTTTCAGAAATACGGCTGTCATTGCTCCTCCACAACTGTTCGTGGAAGAAGCTTCCAGCATTCTGGAGTGGGCGCTGTAAAAGCCTCACCTCTGCCTGTCTCTCTCCAATTGTGCCATATTTCAGGACTGGAGTGGAAAGCCTCTGAAGCTAGTGAACACAAACCTCTTGTAAGAATTGCAAGGAAGACCGAATGGAACTCCTTACCATTTAGTGGAGTGTTGGGTTCAAGTCTGAAGGTTTCCAGGAATGGAGAAGCCCCAGCTGAGACCACATAGGGTGATGCCCCTGTTAAAAGTTTCCTCTCCCCATGAAGGGCGGTGAAGGCCAAGTAAGAAGCTTGTGTGGTTCTCTCTCTTTCAGACCTGGCCTGCAACTTAACTGCTTCATCTGTTGTCTTTGCAGACGCCAGACGCAAGCTGATGAAAAAATTTGCTCCTCAATGTTCTATTGTGTTGCTGGAACATCTGGATACACCAGTGACAAGGTTCCTTCTCAGCCACCCCAGTTTCTCCCACATGTTCAGAGCAAAAGTAAGTTTGGCCACATGTGTGGTCTTTGGGGCCAATATGCAGCAAATGGAAACTGGCAGCTCTCAGATACCCTAACATAACATGTTCATTGTGTATAATGTCTGTTCTAATTAGCTTATCATTTTCATGGTTTAGGTGATCTATTTCCATTGACAGACATTTCAACCACTTTTGCTAACTTTTTGGTTAAACCTTGGCAGTAAAGTTATCCCAGTATACTATTGATCAGGTCTGAGTTGGTATTATATCTCTGATCTTTTGCCTGATAGTAAACGTGGCGCTTTGTTGCAAACAAGTAGATTTGCTTTTCAGATGTTTGCAAGGAGCGCCTACACGTACCGTGTGACTCCAATCTATTCTGAAAATGAAACATTTCTGCTGACACTGGCCAAAGGCCCATCTGAGCCATTCTCCACTTCCCAGCGTGATCAGCCAGATGGCTCTGAGAAACCCAGGAGAAGGGCATGAAGGGAAGACAGACCACCTTCCAACAACATTTACTAGCCATTGTATCTGTTTACTAACCCACTGGAGGCCGGCAGAGGGTAGACATAGCCCTTTGTTGCTTCTCATCCTAAGAGGAAAGGCTCAGCTGCCCACTTGTCTCCTGTGCCACTCCTCCCTGAACAGGGTGTTCTCTGTGAGCGCTTTATTGCAGCAGATTGCTTTGCAAAAAACAGCCGATAGTCTCACAACGGAAGTAAGCTTTCCCTCGGACCCCCTGCATTCCTTTGTGCTTCCTGCTCCCTGACTTTTACAGTTGCAGCCTTCCAGGAAATGCTTTCTCATCCCTAGAAAGAAAAGGTCCCCTGTTTCAGCCTGGAAGACGAAGCACTGGCTTCTGTCGGCGTTGGGAGGCTGGCCCCGGAGAACGGCCTGCTGGTGTCGGGAAGCATGCTTTTGGCGATTGAGGAGTTGCTCCAGGCCTGTCAAGGTGAGTGCTCAGAATCAGGAGGTGCTTCCCGGGGGTGCTGTGGCCAGAACACGAACAAATGAAGACTTTTCATGAGAGAGCTAAGTGGGGAAAGGATCCCAGCAAGGCAGCGTTATATCAACAGAGAAGGTCTCCCATCAAGGGCCTGGAGGAAGTGATGGGCCCACCTCGATTCTGGAGGTGCTGAGGTTGCATGAACAGCTCTGTAAGGTTTTCTTGTATTTCTCCAAAGGTTGTGCATAGGCACCCCACTTCATTGTGGGCCTCCTGCAAGAATCATGTTGAGATTGCACAGGTCTCAGATAGCGCAGGAGTGATCCCACCATGTGTTTGCTTTTCAGAGGAGGACGAAGGCTGCCCTGTCATCTTAGTTTGTGGCCCCAAAAGTGTGGGCAAGTCCACCTTCAACAGATACCTGATTAATCTCTTGCTGAATCGGTGAGTGAGGCCAGACCCGTGAGGGCCAAAACAATGGACCAGGCCTGCCAGGGTGGTTAGAGAGGGGAATACACCCACACCCTCCATCCTTGCCTCACCTTTCCTGAAGGTTAAGGTGTCTTGTCATCATATCTGCTGTGCAGGATGTGATTCCTCTAACCTTGGCTTGGTCTCCACAACAGGATTAGCCTCTTAACTTCCCCCTTTGTAGCTTTCCTGTTTTTTTTTTCTGCATGTGATTAAAAACAAGGGCACGCTACACTTAGTGGAACGCCTTGAGTTTTTAGCATCAGGATATTGCTTGCTTGTGATGTTTGGAAGAATATTGCGAACCCTTTTTTTTGCACTGAGAGATTAAGTCTAATGAATTCGCTCTAAACTGTTTGGGGTGAAACTCCACAAGGAAGACTTCCATAGTCTGCCAGTAATAACCCCGGGCACATCTTCTCACCTCTTAAAAGGCATGAGAACAGGGGCGGAGGTTTGGATTGGTAATATCTTCTGCCAGAGCCGGTGTGTAGCCTTAGGTCCGGCTTTTGCTGGCAGGCCGGCGTAGCGAGAGGCAGTCCTCCTGCTCTTCATTCGGGCCCCAGGGCCATGTCTTAATACTTCTCCTTTTCTCTTTTTCAAAATTAATAGGCTTCCCTGTGTTGAGTATTTGGAATGTGACCTGGGGCAACCTGAGTTCACACCTCCTGGGTGTATTTCCCTCATTAACGTGACAGAACCACTCCTGGGTAGGTGCTTTATAAAGGGTTCGCTGAAGGGGAGGGACGACCATTCAGTCCCCGCATGAGGGGGACCTTGTCTTGAGGGTTCTGGGTTTCCAGAAGGCTCGAGATAAACTGGAGGGAAGGACTGGATTAGTATGAAAGGAATCTGTGGAGGAAAAACAGGGAGGGAGGGCAGCCCAAAGCACTGCTGAAATGCGCTCCGTACAACCCAGGCGTTGGCTTAGTTCTGTCCGGCCGGTCTTCTTCCTCGGCAGGTCCTCCATATACTCACCAGCGCAGACCACACAAAATGATGTACTTTGGGGAAACGAGTTGTGAACAGGACACTGAGAGATACATTGACACCGTCAAAGCTGTGTTCACTGCCTATGAGAGAGATGTTCCCCTAGTGGTGAACACTATGGGATGGGTCAAAGGTGAGGACGTCCCCAACTTTTGTCTCTTGTGACAGGCTCCCCTTTTCCCTCGACGCATTGGAGAGCACGGGGCACCAAACTAAGGGGGTCTTGTAGGCTCCAGAGGCTGGGGGAAGCAGAGGCTGAAAAGTAGGGAAAGAAGCCGCTTCCTTTCCATGGTGGGGGCCATGGAGAAGTGCCTTTGGGTGACAGGGAGGGAATCGGGGGGGGCTCCTGGGGCGTCCCCTGCTCTTATCTGTCCTTCTCAAGTATATTTGCATGTCCCACTTTGCAGGAGAGGCAGGTGTTTTGTTCCCCCGGGATGGTCAGAGTCAGCTGATCTGGGGGGGGCAGCATAGCTGGTCTGGGAGAGGGAGGGGGAAAGAAAGGAGCATCTCAAGGTTTTGGGATTTTTTCCCCTGAGTTTCTGTGAACCTGTAGAGGGGGCCCTTTTGGGGCTTGGAGGGAATGGCAGAGGAAGAGTGGGGCCCTGGTCCTGGGAGAACCCCTAGCGGGTCAATCGGCTGTATCGGTATAATTCAGGGTAGACGTTTTATTTCTGTAGAATGTTTGGAGATTATTTTTGGTAAGGAAAGGCAGGTGCAAGAGATTATAGTTGGGGACATGGCACCCTGCAGCAAAAAGGCCTGTTGTCTGAGCTATGTTGTGATTCTGTGGGAGCAGGATGTAAGATTTGGGGAACTCACTCATGGCCAGGAAATACAAGCTTTTATTCTTTTCTACCCTTCTTTAAAGATAGGTTTCTAGTTTGCAAGGTGCATGCAAGCCCACTGGTATGCATTTAAACAATACCTCCTGAAATTATCAAAGCCAAAGATGGGGCTGAACTTCATCCCTCTTAGACAAGGGCAGTGGGGCATTTGTGCCCCACAGATGGTTTCCTCCCTGCTTCTTTCCCTGCCCCAGTTATTGCAAGGTTGAGCCTTGGCACTTGTCCTCAGTGTGGACGTTGTATTCTTGAGGATGTCCCTTTTCCCACCTAAAGCATGACGTTCTGCTCTTGCGTGGAGGTTCCTGCCCCCTTATACCCTGCTCTTTTCTCTCCTGGCACGCAAAGGCACGGGGCTGCTCCTTCTGATCGAGTACCCTGTTCTCCTTTTCTCTCCCGGCACACAAAGGCACGGGGCTGCTCCTTCTGATCGACATCATCCGGCTGCTGTCGCCGAGCCACGTCGTCCAGATCAGCGCAGAAGACTTCAAGGACGTGCCTCAGCTTACGCTGGAGTACGTCTGCGGCGCTGCCGGCCTTCACACAAGACGCAAAGGTCCCAGCATGGCCAAGCGTCTGAAGAGCGAGGCGGAGGATGTGGGGCAGTGCTGGAGCCACAGAGATTTCCACCTTCCACCTTCTGCCCACAAGCTGCTTTGTGTCCAGCCACAGTTCCCAGGAGCTGGGCTTGCGGGCAGTGTGTGAGTATCGAGTCCCAGAGCAGCTTGGATAGACCAGGGGGAGGTTTGTGCTTCTTCAGAGGTCAAAGCTATTGCCACAAGAATGTAGCCTCCCACCGCTTCTCCTAGTTTTTCTTGTAGTGTTCTGGCCCATTCACCTTGTATCTTCCCTGTAGTAACCTGGCTGCCCCTTTGGATTCTGTCTCCAGTTTCTGGGAGTTTTCTTGATTTCTCTCTTTGCCTGTCTAGGAACGTAACATTGCAGACTGGTTAGTAGGATTCGCGCCACTACTACACCTAGCAAGCTGTATTGTTAGGGGCTTTTTTTCCTTTCTTTCTTTTTTGTATGGCCTCTGTCGTCCTATTCTAAAGGCCCTTTCTTTCCTTTGGGTGTCCCGATCCCTTTTGAACTGGTTCCCTCGATCTGCCGTTCCCAAGCTCTAAGAGGCTTTTGGAGCAGGACGTGGAGGAGTAGTTGTGTCTCTGGTTTGTTCCCCTGGGGTTGGGGAGAGATGGGAAGCCTCGGAAGGTTAGGGCCAGCCGTTCGGTGTATTCCCACAGCCCTTCCCAGCCTGTCTCTGAATCCCCTTCCTTGTTGCTCCTCCAGGCGAACCCACAGCAGCACCCTGAGGGACCTGGCGGTCTTGGGGTATCTGGGCCTCTTGCAGCCTTCGGACTCAGAGCCTGTCCTTCCTCTGCATGGCTTAGTGCCCTACCAGGTAAGCCCAGCTCCTTTCCGTGAAGGCTTCTGTCTAATGACTTGTGGGATCAGACCAAATGCAGAGTTGTCTGAGAACATGCTGGGATGGCGGACTCTGAGCCAGGTGACAAACCTGCTGTGTACCACCTTAGACTTTGGTTCTGTCTGGCTCTGTGTTCTTCCCTCCAGCTGGCAGAGACTCTCCGAGACTTCAGCTAGAAATTTCCCCCAGTTGGGCACCTTAAAAAAGCACGGTTGGCTATGCTTTACGTGTGTTTATTTTTCAGGTCCCCTTTGGTGCCGTCGCCCTTAAGGTTCTCCACGTGGACGTCGCTCCTGCCCACATCTTATATGCTCTCAATGCCAGCTGGGTCGGCCTCTGCCAGGTGCAGGAGGAGCTCCCTTCTCAGGCCGAGGGGCCAGTCTTGCTGACCCAGACGCCAATCTGTGACTGCCTGGGCTTCGGTAAGCGGGTTGTATGGGAAGCCTCCTATTCCTCACCAGAGATTGGCAAAGCATGTGGGCCCTGAAGAGGTTGATGGACGGCAACTGCCGGGACTCCCAGCCCTTGGTGAGGGCTGATGAGAATGGCTGAAGGAAAGCCTTTGCCTGCTCCAGTTTAGATCCCCTTGGAAAATCAGAGCTGTCTTCTCCATGAAGGTGTTTGGGGAGGTGGGCCTATTTTGTTGGGAGCCCTTCAGCATAGAAACATCTGTGGCCAGTGACTTTTTCAAACATTGGTGGACCTGGGTCATCGGGCAAGCCCTCCTCTTGCCCCAGAGATAGGAGGCCCTTCTTTGCGGTAGTGCGCTCAGTCCTGGAGGCCTCAGCCTGGCACAGGTCTAGCCTCCCTCCCCAGTGCTGAGCAAGGGCTTTCTCCCCATTGTGCCCAGCTTTGGAAGCCAAGAGAAGCCCCCGCCTTTCTCCAGGCCACCAAGAAGTTGGAAGGGTGTCAAGTTCCAGGCTGAGGAGACTCATGGATGTGGCTCCACCCTGCCGCCCCCCAGGCTTTCCTGCCAGCCAAACCCTGGGCACTGACATGGATCTCTCTCTCTCTCTCTCTCTCTCTCTGTCTCTCTCTCTCTCACACACACACACACCACACACTCCTACCTTTGGAAACTAAATGGTTGTGTACTGAACTGCTGCCACTTACAAGATTGTGAAGGAGTAGCTCAAAGGAGGGGGTGTCTGTAGCTCCCAGGTGGTTTTGACCTCTCTTCCTCACCGTTGCTCACCATTACCTTCTGGACCAAAGAAGCATCAGAAAGGCTGTCGAATTTGTCACTGCATCAGGTTGGGAATGTTAGCTCAGGCTGAATTGGCCCACCTGGTCTCAGCATATCTTGGTGAAAGGAGAGAGTGGCACCACAGTGGAGCCCACGTATTCTCATCACTGCTTACATCACTGAAGAGTAGAGGGTTCCCTCTATATCTCTTGCTTATTTCCTGGAATCGGGGGAACTTTTGCTGGCCAGAGTGGACCACACTGGGTTAGATGGATAAATAGCCAGACAGGCCGCATCCTATATTCCTATGTGCAGTAGGTTAGCTGCTCGCCTCTGGTTTGTGCAGTTTTTTTGTGGTCATGTTCCAGATACTTGCCTAGTTCTGCGCTTCCTTAGGGCCTTTTGCGAGCAAAATTGCAATAGATATAATCAGAGCAAATCCAATAGTAAAAGCAAGCAATATTCGATAAAATCAAGTTTGAAACCGAGCCTTAAAAACCTTTCTGTGTTGCTTTCCATATTAAGATGCGTCTGTTCTTTTGTCCTGAGACAAAGGTCTCCAGCTAAGTCACCAAACCTCCAGGTGCTCCTTAATTCTGTTCAGTGTCTCCACAGGACTCAGAAAGGATGCTTTGTAAATTCTCTATTTTTGCAGGAATTGTCCGAGGGGTGGACATGGACAAGAAACTGTACTACATCCTGAGTCCCGTTGCTCCAGAGTCCCTGCGACTTGTGAATTGCTTACTTGTGGGGAATATTTCCATTCCTAACTCCGTTTTCCTGAACCAAGTAAGGGCAGGTTTGGCTGGGAGGTGCTGAAATTAAAGGGAAGCCGTGAGCGGCTTTATTTTAAAACTAGCCCAGTTTCTAGCTCTTCAGAGTGTGGATATCGCCAAAGCAAAAACTTAAATGATTGGCTGTCATGGGGAAGAAGAGGAGGGACAGCAGAGCTCCTTAGCCTGCTCTAAAGTTAGTCTCAGCGGTTGCAAAAAGCCCAGGTGGAGAAACTTAGACGTCTGTGGACATCCCTGGGCAGAGGAGGCAGGATTGAACTGCCAGGAATAAATTACATTTATTGCGTGCACGTCAGTGCATACGCCCTGATTTTGTGGGGTGTTTCGGCTTCTGTACCCGACGACTCAAATGTTTTTAAAGTGGGCAGTGGAATTAGTTGGTTTCAGCCAGCACACAAAAGAGTCTCCAAGCATCCTTTTTCTTGGCAGGAAAGCCAAGCCCTCTGAGGAACAGTTGGGGGGGGCTATGTGAAGCCTGGGAAAGAGCAGGCTCAGAAAGGGGGTATGAGGGTCGCCCCCGAGGCTGGCGAAGCTGCTCCGTAGAAGGCAGACCATGCCAGTTTCCTGCTGCTCCGGAGGGCAGGTGTATCAGACTATGAAACCCCCTGCAGGCCAGTTACAAGAAAGGAGGTTCCAAGAAAACTTAGGAAGCATTTGCTGATGGCCAGAGCTTCAAAGGAGGTTCCCGGAAAACTTTAGGAAGCATTTGCTGATGGCCAGAGCTTCTTTGCCGCTAGAAGGGACTCCTTTGGACGGTTACAGATGCTACTTTGTTGGAAGTTTTAAAAGACAGGTTGAGCAGCCATGCACACGCGCATATACACACATGCTATCCATCTCTGAAGGAACTGACACTGGAGCCAGACTAACAGAGAAAAGCATGAGGAGAAGGCCGTTCCTGTGCAAAAAAGCCTTCTGAACTGGAACAGTTTTAGTGGGTGGCTGGAGCGCCCATCACGTGGTTGCCAGGTGGCCATCCTGGCAGGGACTGAACTCAGAGATGAGGTGCTCTTAATGAACAGGACCACGGAACAGGGACTCCGTGAGTGATTTCAGTGGAACACCACACATGAGGGTTGTGCAGTGCAGAAACACCCCAGTTGGAAGGAGGCATTGGCTGTTTCTAGTAAGTTTACTGGTAGCTGGCTCTTGCACAGTGAAAAGTATGCTCTTCACAGCGAATCAGTCCTTCCTCTCTGCATACTTCTCCCGTTTTGTTTGCCACGTGTGGCACTGTGTGTAACTCTGCCCCACTCTCCTCTTAGCATTGGATGTTTTTGTGTGTTCAGACAGAGTGCACGCGCGGTTGTGTTGAGAGATTCGGAATGAATGTTTTCAGTGGTGACAAATCTTTCAGGTGCATGGGAGTGTTAGGTACAGAGCAACATATAACACTGTCCTCTTTTTATTTTCCTTGTTCCCCACCCCACTTTAGGTTGGAATTGAAGGGGAGGTACCCTACGTCACGTCCGAGTATAACTTTGACATTTCAGGGGCAGGGAAGCTGAAAATGAAAAAGCATCTCAAGAGGAGAGAACATAGCCAGTCCTGAGGCTCTCGTTGAGTCTTCGTCTGCAGCAACAGGTTCAGTTCAAGTGGCTTGGGGTGTTCTCCGGGACCATCCACGGGAGAGAAGTTGCAATAACCAGAGCTGACAGCGCCATGCTCTGTGACTTCTGACTGTCATTCTGTATTTTCTTTTTTCTTTTCTTTTATGGTTTCAGAATTAAAATTTTGGAATAAACACCAAGGTCAGGTTCCTGAGGACTCTTGAGGAAGAGTTATCTGGAAGGTAGGGTGCCCGTCAAGTGTATGTGGAATGGTGCTTCATCCTCGATGTGCTCCTGGGCTTCCACGTAGGATCCGTTTCTTCTCCCGCTGTGAAGTCCACTTCAGCCCAGCTTAGAAAGAGCAGTGTGGGGCAGTGGGCTCCAGAAGCAGCGAGTCTGAGCTTGTGGCTCCAGGAATGGCTTGCCTGTAGCACCGCACAGGATTCCTTCACCGGTGGCATTCCAAATGCCCCTTTGGGGGCCTGCGGTGGTGAAGAGCGGTTGCTTGAGAACAACCAGTGGATGGTCAAGAGGGATCTTTGAGAGGGCCACTGGGTTTGCCCTGGCGGAGCTGTGCTGGTTTCCTGGGCATCGGGTCCCTTGAAGGGACCTCAGCCTCTTTTCCCCCTAAAGACTCTTCGGGGTCCTCTTGACCAAAATCGTCCTGTAGCAAGTGGACCGAAGTCTCTTTTATTTATTCTTTATTGGAGGGGGTGGGGGGAAGAGAACACAAAAGCATGACTCTGCTTGCATGAGCTCAAGCGGAATCTGTGCAGACCTGATGTCGCTCTTTCTCTTCCAAGTACCTTCCACAGACAAGCTGTCTAGTTTTTGTTTGCTTGCTTGTTTTTTTAAATCCCGATTTCCCAATCAGGGGCTCTTCTGGGAACCGTGATCACTGGGAAGGATGGCAGTTGAAGGCCCATCTGGAGGGCATGTTTTGGGGGCGGCTGTTCTGATCGGTTGTCAGGTGGGCTGCTGACAAAATGTGGCTTGCATGAATGTCACACTCAGCTTGTTTGAACTGGTGTCCCAAAATTCGAGTTGTTTTTCAAGCACTTCCAGGGGCTGTTGGGGTTACCCGCAGTGATTCTATGGGGTGGGGAGGGTCAGCCTTTTAAAGGTTCCTAGCCTGTTTCACACATCACGTCCCGTTCGATTCTGAGAGCAACATCAACCTTAGAAAGTTTGTCACTGTAGACACACATCTCCCACGGTTTCTCTCTGTTCCACACAGTTTTCATTGCATAGCTGTACTCTTAAAGCCGAGCCCTCCCACCTTGAAGTGCTAGTTTTTAACCTTGGCATAGAAGTGCCTTTAGTTGCTGTCGCTGGTGTGCACAATCGGCTTTAATCGATTACTCTCCAAGGGCGATTGTGTTCTGCTCCTGGTCAGTTTCCATCTTGTCCCCATTTGGGAAATCAGAACCATGAGTGCCTTCACCTATTTCAGCCTTCCCTGCTCCTGTCAGTTTTCTCCCAGGATCCCATGTCAAAGACTGCTCTCCCCATGCTTGCAGGAAGGACCCGCCGCCTCTGCTTGTACTCCTGCCCCATAGGAGCCCCCTTCCCTTTTGTACAGGCCTGGCTTATTCCCAAACGTTCCCTAACAAATCTCCTGGCTTCACCCACCCTGCTGGCCCCATGCACGGAACGGGCAGCATTTTGGAGAAAACTGTCTTGGCTTTCACACACCTGATTCGGGCTTTGAGGATCTCACAGCTGTCGATTCCCCTCCCTGCACTGTCCACGGAGGTCTCAAACCTGGTGCAGCAGCACAACCCTTGTGCCAGGCAGGCCCTTCCGTGTGTGGCCCAGACTTCCTTTCCAAACCCCACAGTTTAGGCTCCTAATTATAGACTTTGCCACTGCCACAAATTGCCACCCCTCACCCCCAAGTTATATGGTTGGTCTGAGGACCTACGGTTTGTTTGCTCACAAAAGAGGAGGTCGCTTCTGGGGGGTCATTTTTGGACTCCTCAGGGTATTCTTGCCCTCCCTGGCTGCAGAAGAACCACCATCCCAAATTTGGGACTTCCCCCAAATGGGAAGGTCACCCCTTCAGCTTCTCCAGGCCAGTGACCTTTACTTCCAGGGACGCCGGTTTTGCTGTGGACCATCAAGCGCTCATTCTACAAAGAAGACATGCATCATGACTTTTGTTGAACTGGCAAATACTTGTCATAATTTCCTGTTACGTGCTGTTAAGAATCTTCCAGCTTACGGAGATGTCAGTAGAGTTTCTGAGGTACGTGAGATGCTCAAGGAGTGGTTTTACTCTTTCCACCGCCACCCGTTGATTTTTCCATGGCCAAAGGGAAGTTTGAACCCAGATCGTCTTGAGTCCCGATCTGTGCCCGTCTGTCCCCTACACCCCGTTCTGTCACATGTCATAACATTTAGAGCAAGTGTAAAAAAAATCTAGGCAGGTTGCTTGATCTCTCTAGTTTTTCTGCCTTGCTGGTTGATTATTGGTGTTATTTTAACTCCTAGTTAAACCTCTGAGCTATTCAGTAGCAAAGGGTGTGGAGCAGTTGCGTGCCCTCCCTCAGCCTGTTGGTAAATGCATGGGAGTGCAAAAATGGGCCGCTTACATTTCCTTTGCTGCTGCGCCTGAGTTCATTCGTCCCTGGGGCTCTTCTGTGCCTTCGATCAATGGAGCTGCATTGATGGCACTTCTCCTTGCTCTCACACACACCCTTACCTCCTGCTTGCCTGCAAGGAAGCTAGATGGGGGAAAAATTGACCTGCTTTAAAAAATCTGTTTTCTCCTTTGGAGAGGTGAACGAGTCAGCGGCAGGAGATTTTGCTGAGCTAGTGACTCTTGGAGTCTGTGACCGGTGTGCGTCAGTTGCAGTGCGGCAGCCGAAAGAGTTAAACCTTTAGCTTAATCTGCTCTTAATTCTCCCCATATGGTCACGTCTGGCAGCACAGGAAAAGCTCTGGCGGACAATCCTGCCCGAACAGTGGCTAGAATAAATATGGAGGCCATCTGTGTGGTGGGCGGGTTGGGACGGGGGGGGGTCTGAGTTTTAAATGGTAGTGAGAAATAGCTCTGTGTGCATGAGAGAGGGGAAAGCAGAAAAGGAGCAGAACCGTTGCCGGGGGCGGGGGGGGCAGAGGCAGGAACAAAATCAGCTTTGAGTCTGAGGTGTGGGGGAAGAGGAGCGACAAGGGGGTGTACCGTTGCTTCCCTCCTCCCGGTTTTCGGTAGCTGGTTGCTGTGGCAACCAGTCCACTGCCCCCTGTGATGCTCAGTGGACTGTGGATGAAGTTTATCTAAGGCACTTCAGCTTCACTGAGCTGATGGGTGTGCAGGCAGCCTTGCCTTAGGGAAGGAAGATCTTCCGCCCAGGAGGAAAAAGACACCCAGGCCTGGCTTGGGGCCAAGGTGGCCAAACCACAGCGGTAGCACTTCCGAAACCTCCACCTGGCGAGCCCCTCGCCACTGTCTCTGTGGCCGGGTTCGTCTCTGGGAAAAGCAGGTGGCCACTTGCCAAGGAAGGGGAAGGCCCAGCCCTGGGAGAGACAGAGCTAATGGGAAAGCAGAAATCCAGAATGGGGCGGCAGACGAAGGCACAGCCTTAGGAAGCCGGTGCTCACAGATGCAACGCCCAGGGGAGGCTCGGCACTGGGAAGACGGGAACGTGGCAAGGGCCGAAGAGGCGCTCGCTTTTATGTCACCTGCCACATGGGGAAAACTGGAGCCGCGCAAGGCGCTGTAGATCCCAGTCTGGCGTGCCAGGGCCAGCTCTCTTCCAAAACGGAGCTTGAGATCCTGTTGCCGACCAACGGCTCGCTCTCCGCTCCCATTTGCTTGGCTTTTTTTCCTGCCTCACGGGGCTCCCTGATGGTACCCTGAGATTCTTGGCCAACAGAGCTGCTGCCCTCTTCTCTTCTCGCCTTGGGAACATCAGCCCCCAGGAGAGGCGAGATCATGAACCCTGTTCTCCTGACAAAGTATGGGTCCCCCCCTCGCAGCTGGCTCGGGCTCCGTTTGGGAACAAGTAAGTAAAAAGGGTCGATCCAGGCAATGGTGACATGGGGGAGGGTGAGGTGGGGGGGTGATTGCCTTTTTCAGGCAGGCTACCCATTCCCACGTTGTGTGGAAGTGGAGTCTTACTGAGAATTTAAAAGGTTCAGAGTGAAGATCTGTTTACCTGGATAATGGATGCTAGTCTCGTGACCTGGTCGTGGGCTTCATGGAGACGATCTGGACCCCGCCCCCCCAAGGAAGCAGGACATGAATCCAGCGTCTTCCAGCAGGGCTGCCACAGGTATCCTTGAACACGGTCACGTTTTCTTCTGCATAGCATTCAGATGGGGAAGAGACCAGCAAGGTGCTTGTTTCCTCATGTCCTATATGGATTGTGCCCTGAGTTCTTGGTGGATATTGAGACATTACCCACCAACAGCCCCAATTTTCAAGTCCAATTTGATGAAACGGGCAGCCCGCATTCGGAAATGTAGCTCCTTGAAGAGGTGAAAGGCATCTGCTTCCCATGGCACGAGCTTTTCTAAACTCTCGTCTGCAAATGACTTTTGTGATGGTTCACCCAAAGGTCCACACAGGCAGAATTTGCAAGGGTGATGCCAGCTCTGGCAGAATTCCATAACGGACAAAAAATGTACTATAATGTTCTGGTTTTGAGCTAAGTGTCTCATCTACTCGGACGCTTAGGAGCTTGCTAGTGCCATTGTTAGGATCCTGAAATCATAAAATCAAGAAGGGTCCCTCAGAGGTCATCCAAGCGATCCCTAGCTGAAATGTTGCTGACTGTTGGCCATACAACCTTTGTGTGAACATCTCCAGAGGTGGGAGACTCTACCACATTTCAAAGTGATCCCTTCCACTATCCAGCAGCTCTTGCCATCAAGAACCTTTTCCTCATGTTTAGTGGCATTCTTTCTTGAAATCTGGATCCTGCCCTTTAGAGCAGGCAGAAAGCCAGCTTGCTCCATCACCTGTGTCGCAGCCCTTCAGGGATGTGGAGGTAGCTGGTGAGGTTACAGTGATGATGGTCATTCAGTGATATAAACGAGACCACACAAAGTCATTTTGGTAACTACATGGATAAGGATTGATGGTGTTCTTTTCAAATACTTGTAAGGTCATCCTACAGAGGAGGGGCAGGATCTGTTCTAGTTTATCCCAGGGTGCAGGACACCTAAGAATAGGCTCAACCTGCAGGAAGCCAGATTTAGGCTGAAGAGCAGGAAAAACTTCTTAACTGTAAGAGTAGCACATCAGCGGAAACAGTGACCTCGGGAGGTGGTGAGCACTTCGATGCTGGAGGCATTCAGCAAGAAAATTAAACAATCCTCTTAAAGTTGCTTTTGACTTGGGCTCATGCATTGAGCAGGGGGTTGGACTGGATGGCCTTATAAGCCCCTTCCAGTTATTCTTTGATTCTGTGAGATTTAGTGGATCAAGGCCTGTTGTCTCTTGGATAGGAAGGAAAATGAGTCTTATTCCCTTAATGGTAACGTCAACATTAGAGGCTGCTGGTGTAACCCAAATGAGTCATTTAGCATTTGCTGCACTCTGAGGAACTTTTCCAGTAATTCTATTCTCTTCTCATACAGATGAAACCTGGGCAGCGTAAAATCTTTGTAGGATAGGTTAGGGTGAGAAAAAGAGAGAGTCCACCAGACCAAAGCTGATCCAATGAGTTTCACAACAAGCTCTTGACTCCTGGACTTGGCAATTCAAGAGGAACATTCTAGCCACACATGGCTTTTCTTAAGGAAGTAGGATAAAAACAGGCCTGTGCTCTTTGGATCCCCCCCCCTTCCGTTGAGGCTTCATTTGGTCTTCTGCCCTTCCTTCAGCCGAACAGGCATTTGGCTTAAGACCTCTCTTCCGTTTTGCCTTCTGCCACCGACGGACAGTCTGCTTTGCCAAAGGGCAGTGCCCTGGGCTTGAAGAACTTCAAGATTTTGCAATGCGGCTCAAGGAAGGAAGAAGAAAAGCAGGGAAGTGTGGTTAGTTTAATTATGTGGACTTGGTTTAGTTACATTGAAGTACAGGAAGTAAAGATAGTCCTGGGGCTTTATATAAAAGCTGGGTTTTTGAGTGTGAATTGAAGACATTGGACTCTGGAGATGTTCTGCATCATGCCTGGCAGAAAAACGTGGTACCCCATGCTTCCTCCCCCCCCAACCCAGCTAAACATAGGCTTGTCTGCTCCTTGCTTTGTTCCTGCTGCTGTGATACTAGCAGCTGAGCTAAAAACTGGGCACCTGCACCAACCCAAGGGGACAAGGCGGTCTGAGGAGTGGAGGATGGGATCCCTCGCACTCCGGTTCCCAAGCAGAGGGCTGCCTCCCTGAAAGCAAGCGCCTGCACGCCATGTTCGGACGGAAGTGGGAGAGACTGGTGATTTAAAACTCTGGCTACCTCTTTGGCAGGCGGCTCAGACAAAACAAACTGTTCTGAGCATGTGGTTTTTTTCCTCCCCTTTTAAAAGTAAGCAGCGGAGACACTGATAAATGAACCAGCTGGAAAATGGTCCGTTCCCCCTCCCCCACCCGCCCCTCGTTGTAGGGAGTTGCCGTTGGTTTCCATCCCTCTCAGGAATGAAATGGTATTTCAAACATTGTTTTTGTTAGCTCTTTTCACCTCATCCCCTCTTTCTTCTCCCAAACCCAGGAAAAGTTGGTGTTCCAAGGCAGAAAATCCAAGCGGCACTATCCTCTCATGCTGCTGAGAGGGGGAGTCCCTTCCATGTCCCCTATTTGGGGTGCTAGGAAAAAACCCAACACAGCTCCTGCTTCAGATATGGCTTATCTAGGAACTCTTCCCCCCCTCATTAACGGTCCTGATCCTTTCCCCGCCCCCCCCAATCGCACTAGGGAGTCCCTGCTTCGAGGTCACTTTGCCAAGTTTTTGCAGGTGGAATCCAAGTGATCCTTGTTGCCATTTTGCCTTGGAACTCAAAGGGCCCTCATTAGGGTGGCCACGTGTCTTCTGCTAGGGAGAAGAGGCTTCCGTTTGAGAAGAGGACAATCCAGAAAGTGTCCTCTGCTTGAAGGGCTTTGCCCAGTTCACGTCTAATGTAAGGATAAAGGGCCACAAGGAAAGAGAATCGGGGCCTTCTCCTCCTCCTTCCTAAGCAGTCCGTAGACACTCGGGCTCCGCAGCAGGCGCGCATGCAAAGGTCCCTTTGGGTGACGATCTCTCTCCCACCCGAGGCAGGTGAATTGAAATTCTATTTCAAGATGAACAACCCACTCTGAACCGTTCATCTGAAGTGTCACATTCACCAATGTCACCGGAGGCACACTGGAGTCCCTCTTCTGGGCGATGCAGAATTGGCCACAATCCTGCTGTCGTTAGCAGTCTTATGGCTGAAGGGAAGGTGGGGGCTGCCCCCTGCCCCGTATCCCACCAAGATCCTGTGGGGTCGTCCTGGGGATGAGGCAGGCTCTGAGGAGTAACCTCCCCACCACCACCAAGAGGTTTATCTGGGTGTGCAGAGGGATGGCTGGGCAAACTCAAATTTGTGCCTAGGCACTAGACATGGGGTTCTGTGCCTCATCAGAAAATTCAGAAACATCTCTTTTTCTTGTTACTAGGCAGGAAAAAAAGACATGGAAGTAGGGATGTGTGTGTGTGTGTGTGTGTGTCTCATCAGAAAATTCAGAATCATCTCTTTTTCTTGTTACTAGGCAGAAAAAAAAAGACATGGAAGTAGGGATGTTTGTGTGTGTGTGTGTGTGTGTGTGTGAGAGAGAGAGAGAGAGAGAGAGAGATGGTTCCTCCTACAAGGTGCCCCCTCCCTCTCTTCCCCTCCCGTTTCCTGTGTAGCTGGCTTTCTGTTTGTGCGCAGAAGGTGGGAAACTAAAAGCCGACTGGATGTTTCCAGTTGCCAAGGAGCCACCTGTCTTAAGAGCTGATCATTGATCACAGGGCAGGTGAATGCTGGGTTCTGTCTGGGGACAATCGGCTTTGACTCCTGGGTGGCCTATGGGAACTAGCTCACCAGGCGACTGGGCTAAAACTAGATTACCCAACTATGCTGGTGTGACCATGAGTTCCACGTGTCAAGGCCAATATTAAAATGGCCAGATAGCTCCATGGAGCTAGAGGTTGGGAGTTCGATTCTTCGACTGGTCTGGACTCCATGATCCATAGGACCTTTCCTCCCCTGCCGTTCTAAGGTGAAGATGATGATTCTCCTCTTCAAAAATTGGAGAAGGTGTGGATTTTTCATTTCTGGGCTCCCCATTCAGGTGGGATCGTGGACTATCCATTCCATTTTGGTTGTAGAAACCCTCTCTAGTTTTTTTTTTCTTCCCCATCTGGGCCTCTCAAGGAGAATATACCATTTTATGCTAATGGTTCTCCTCCTTTTTGTCCTTCGGTCCTTTTGGATGAAGTGTAAGTGGCCGTGGTGGGCCAAGAGACTTGACAGGCAGAGAAGGAGACAGGGGAGAGAGAACGCAACCCTAAGAGGAAAAGGGGAGAAGACGTGAAGATGCTTGCCTTTCCCAGACACGCTACAGAAATGCACTTCTAGCGGGTCTCTGGGAGAACTCCTCCCTGGCATGGGAACAGCTGGCAGGCATTTCCGGCTCCGCACCCTCTTCCCGTCTGATCAGTGCCCAAAAGAATCCAAGCCAGCTGGGAGTCGCAGCCGGCCGGCCGGCCTGCCCACACCTCTCCATCCTTCCCAACTCTTCTCAAGCCTTTTGTCTGTCCAAAAAGCCAAGCTGCCTTGGAGGAAAACACGTCGAGCCTCTTCCAACGAACTATGACTAAGATGCGGCTGCCCAGGAAGGCTTTGCTTCCTTGCCACTGTTTGTGATGGGTAGCTTTCCAGTGAAGGGCGTGGATTTTGCTTGCGTGGCTTCTGGAGATCGTGGCCTTCCACCGGAGCAGCACCCAGTATAGTTGGGGGGTGGGGGGAGGTGAGCGGAAATGAAATAAAATTAAAACATGTCCTGTGCTAGGAGATCTCAAGAGTCCATGTGGTAGACTGGCCATGATCTGGAAAGAGAACAA